ATCCTTAGAACACGTGCAACGGGCGTGTTGCTGGGTATTCCGGGCGTAATGAAAACCACGTCAACAAAGACTCTGGAGGTCATATAAAAGTGATGCTTGAGGCAAAAACCTTACGGCCAGCCGACCTAGGATTTTAGGAGATTATAGTTAGGCTCGGTTCACTACGGCATCGTATTATACTCGACTTTGTGAATTAACTCGAGCTAAATTGGCAATGCGAAACCGYTTTCATTCCCTGGTCAAATGAACCAATGATTCTCTGATCGACTGTTCTAGCGGCAAAATCTACATATTCAACGAACGGATCAAAGCGCTGATGAGGAACAGGTGCAGGCTTCTTCTGTAGTAATCCATGCGTAGAAGGTGGGTTTAAGCTAGATGAATACAATTATGTCAGGCCGAAAGTGGAGGCATTACAGAAGTTGCCAAGTGGGCTTCAGCTCTAACTAGCATGTCATAAACCTTCTAGTGATAACTAACGCTATCCACAGCGCCATTATCAAGTCTCAATGCTTAACTTTATTCAAGCATGCAATAAATAGAAAGAAATGAAAAAGCAGATGAGCTGGTCCGCTGGAGACAGGCGGGGATACACGGATCGCGGATCCAAAAGTTGTACATTATTTCCATCATAAATTACACTATGCGAAGAAAAAKACTTTGAGTTGCAAGTACACAATTATATAGTTCCCTCCCMAAAATTCTACTCTGGATCCTCCCCTGGCTTGGGGTAGCTGGAAATAGAATTCAAATAAATTGTCAAGGGTTGTATGAAACAATGGACTGTAGAGGAACACCTCAAGTATTGGAACCCTAACAACACGGAGCATACMACAAAGTTACTTTGAGGTAGTAKKWWTGGACAGACCAAAAAGCTTTTACTTCATGAAAAATAGAACTTAGTATGCCAGTCTTCAGCCGGATGAAACGGCTTTCAATGACGAACTTAAGAGACATTGGGAAGCTGGTAGAAAAGTCAGGTTTCTTACCAAATTCCGTGAATGGCTAGACAAGGCTTAATTTAGATACCAGTCTGGATCACAATGAACGAAATTAYAGCATAAGCGCGGATAATCAATGAAACTAATGACATTAATCAATGTACTCAATATATTTTAACTAGTGGACCAATATCATTAATTTTTTTTCTCGTAAATAACATTTTACCATGCGAAAAAGCTTCCTTGACTATTGCCGGTATAAAGTTAACCAAAAGAACGGAGATCTTCATATTTGATATGGATTGTTTTGGTTTTTATCATAATAATATAATGTATAGGCTGCCGYTGTTGTTGTGGTTTATGCGGCAGGATTTTTCCAAGTTGACAGYCCGTTCCGGTTACGTAGAACCGACTGTCGTGGGAACGGTGTATAGGTTGCTGTTTATATGTATGCATAAAACTTATCAGTTTGCAAGGAAAGACATTTTCATTCTATCATCAGACTGGGAATGAGTCGGATMTTCGATGACGGATATTTTTCTAACTTAAGAGTTTATTAAAGAGGTTCATATAAATACCCTATTTAGAGCGGAAGCGGTAAGGCGGAGTTCTCCATTCGAATTAATTGGAATAGTTATTCACTTGTACACACTTACATACTTACTTATAGACCTAAAKGTCTTCTGCATTATTTGAGGAATAACCAATTATGCTCCCCGCCAAGGTCTCAGCATTAATACTTAAGCTAACATATTCTAAATTACAAGTAATTAACAGAATTCCAATTGGAATTGGTTCTACGAAAAACGAGTAAGTCCAATAAATAATTTCGTTTCAAATTTAAGAATTTTAGTATGAAAAATGCTGAGTTACGATCTATTCGAACAAATCCAGATCGAGTATAAATTTTGAASCGATTGGTATTTCAAACTAATAAAAATATTAGATAGAACGACGGCTAATATTTCACAATAATRTTGACGAATGYGACCTGGTTGTGTTCTTGCTTGAATACAAATCGGAGTACCTCTCGGTTACTTAAACCCGACCTTCGAGGAAGTATGTATGTATAAGTGCATACTTTTCACGGAATTGCACTTTTGATAAACTGTGTGATGAGGAAATTTTTAAATAAACCTATTTTATAATGTACATTCAATACATATTGTTATTTTAAAATGTATTGCTAAATAATTATATATTTTAATTATGAAGTACATACATGTAYAYATATGTACATATGCAAATACTTTGCACACACATGTATCTACTCATAGCGGAAGCAAATTTTGCCTTAAATTCACCTTGACCTAGTCGACCAGATTTAAATAATTATAACTTAAGCTTCTAAACCTTTCCTAACAACTCCAGCTAATACCAAGAAACATCAATCTACTTATGGCTTCGATGAAAATTTTCGTCTGCTAGCTGCTTGGCTACACACAACGAAACATATATGTATGTACATATGTATAATATGTATACAACGCTATATGGTAACACCATTGCCGTGCGCATTTTTCTCGGTTCGTCGTCAGCTTCATCGTAGTTTATGGATACACACGATTTAACAGCGCACCCGGTGTTGTTTTGGCTTTGTTGTGTTTAGCATTTGCTGTTGTTTTTGTAATTGTTGTTGCTAGTAGCGTTGCCGTGGTTTTTTGTCTGCTGTTTATTCTTATTGTTTGGCTTAGAAGATGACGCGCTGTTGTTATTGTGACGCGCATATGCATGTGTATACATGCGAAGAGAATTTTATTTGGGAGAGAGACACAGCAGCACAGTCACAGTCGACGTCAGCTTTACATACCATTTGTGCGCCGGCAGCACTCTATATCAATTCTACGTACACCCAATCATATTGGGATCGTCAACAGCGCAGTCAACGTCAAGCATAACTGACATTTTCGTCTCCATTCGCGATTCCCACGCATTTCATTGTAAYTGAACGCTTTTAGTTGTTGCTTTTACTTAATAAAATAAATTACTCACCTTGCTCTAGCTGCCTTTTAAGTAAGCGATTAAATGATTTTTATTACATTTTGATAGTAGCTTTTATTAAAGCCATTTCGTTATAATCACATTAACTTTATGTTCACACACAAACTTAATACTGCAAATTTTTGCCAAATCTGATTTCACCAAATTATAATTAAAATGYTCACTATTCTCTTTGCACACACATAAAAACAGATGTATTGCGTTTATTTATTGTTTATATGCTTTTACCAATGTTTTGTTTATAATAATTTAATAGCAAACGCAAAAATCACCGTCACCGTTTCTATTACCAACAATTCGCATAAAGTCAACGAAACGACTGCGCTTCGTGTACGTCATTGACGCGACTGTTTCTTGTTATGTTTATCTAATTATTACAAATCGAAGTACGAATACAAATCAARAAATTATAAACTTTTGTTTTTACGCATAGTAAATAAACTATACTTAAATTTTTATGCGAATAGAGAGCATTAAATGACTTAAATTTCTTTGCAATTGTCTGCTTTTMATTTTTGAGTTCTTTAAGGCAACTTGTTCGGCACCAATTTGCTTAAAAACCTTCTGCTTCTAGAACAAGCTGCATATACATGTTCCAAGCAATTTTATATCAAACATGTTGTGTTATTTATCTCTTGTATAAGAGAAGCTTGTTAACAGAGTGGCTAAAGAGAATGGAAAAGTTTTAGAAAATACTGAAAATACCTCATGGCAAATGTTTAATGTTACAATTGAATGTGTGATTAAATAAAAAAAAGTTTTAGTGTGTGACTTAAAATAATTTATTTAATTTTGAGAAATGAGAGCTTTTAAAAAGATATATTTGAGTGTGAAAGAAACAAAAGGATATGAATAAGTGTTGTTTAAGATATATTTGAGTGTTTGAATACCRAAAGAAATTTTGTATCTGCTTTAAATACCGAACGTTGAGAATGTCTTGGCAAATATTGAATAAATTGCGGTAAGAAAAAATCTTTATAACAATAATAGTTCAGAGCAATGAGCGTGACTTWATTGCATTTAAAGGAAGGCAGTTGAAAAAAAGCTATCAAATGGGAAATAATCATAGTATATAGTTATATCCGTACGTTTATTTCTACCATTGTGAAAATGATATACATATGTAAATTACAACTTGTGTGGKGACAATACTTTTATTTTAATTTAAAATATCTATTTGTGTCTAAACCAGCGGCCACTGRACAGCAGTGTTCAAATATTACTTAATTAACTTTGTCTTCAGATTAAAAAAAGAGGAAAATAGTCAAATTAATAGATGCTATTGTTTTTGCCAAAACCCAGAAAATATTCGCTCAAAATCAACAAAAAAAGTTAATTTTATAATCGCTTTTAAACTTGCCGGTTTTTACATTTTTTTAACACAGTGGAAAGTAATATTTATAGGAATGAAAGGAATAAACATTTTATATCACACTTTTGATTCAACAATATGGCTTCCTGTGTTGTATAAAYCATAAGAGTTCCCAAATATATATATAAAACATATGTTTGAGCAACCAAATATAACTCATATTCCTTCCACTTGCAAATTTGAATTTCCCGCTGCAATTACTAAGAAAAACCATCAGACCAACTCAAAAATAAAAGTTACGAGCCATACAAACGTTCCAATGACGAAATGGAAGCAATACCCACCTAACACTTTCACGTACGAATTTCCACAAAATGTAATAAAAAGGACACAACAGTGAAGMAAATGGCACTCAGTCACAGCAGAAGTTACAATAACAGCATACTGAGTTCTATTTTACATTAGTCTACAGATATATAATGCTTATATGCGGCAGTGTTACTTGTCGTGAGCAACAACAATTGGCGTTTCTTGTAACAACATGCCCCAAACAATATTACTGGGTACACAAGTAAAGATATATGATTCAAATCTACAGACATAAGTTCCCAATACTCTAAATTAATTATATATTATAAACATATTTATATACATATATACTTACATATGTTGATGCAAACCCGATGTAAAGAGCTTAACGCAGGATGTTTGCAATATTAAACAAAAAACAACTCATTTCTCAAGCATTTATGAAACACTTTTATTTTATTTTACGTCTGTTTTCAATTCAAATCTTCAACAAAATATTTACAACTACATTTAACGGTTCACATGCACATTAAACAGTAACCTGATCTTTAAACTGCCGCATGAACTATAAATTACTCACTATTTAGAAATTAAAAGTAAGCGGGTGTACCGGGAAATAGCCTTTACTCTTAATGACTTGCTTGGCTAGTCGTTGCAAATTGCTATCGTTATTCACATACTGTCCATTGAAGATTTCTGTGCATAGTGTGTGCACTTTTTTGCGACCATGCGTACACACAGCTGACGCCAAGACCAACTCATAGTCGGCCAACTGCAAGCCTATGCAATACGAGCGTGAGGCACGCGCTAAACTGGCAAACATTGCATAGAGTGTGGCTGCAATTTCGGCCAAACGCTGCATATCGTGATGCTTCTCTACCACAGCGGTGCCATAGCGAGTTAGCAGCAACTCAACGCACATTTGCAGGCGGGCCACTGATTGTTCGACGCTTTGCGCAGCCGGTTCCAAAGAAGGGTGCACATTTTCATTTAAACGCATTTTAGTCTTTGGATTATCAATGTTCGAACTTTGCAGAAATTTACCCAATATGTGTCCAGGATGGAAGAGTGGATTGCGCTGCATGCGTACTGTGTCTTGCAATACACCCTGTTAAAAAAATTTTTTTTTTCAACGTATTTCAAGGATAATAGGCACTCATTTAATTGCACAACTTACGCCTGCATGTTGTAAGCCGGCCAGTGCGATGTATAAGCGTAGCGTGTCCATTGATTCGCCTTGAGTGTACAGTTGAGCACTATCACGGAAAAGCACCTCAGTTTCTTGACCGGAAATTAAAGATTTGGGACCAATGATGTCCATAGATTTAGCAGCAATTTTAAACAATTGCCTAAGACTATAATACTAATGGGAAAATATGTGGAAAGTAGAAGTAAGAAATTTATAGAAATTTATATAAAACTTATTTTATAAGTGCATGGAACCTACTTTGGTAATTGCAGCTTCCAATGCCACATCAGGTGCCGTAAATTCATCCAGTATGCCCGCCGTCAAATAAATCATACTTTCAATAGCATATGTGGCACAGGCCGCCTTCGACAAATGCATCTGCAGCATTTCCATATCCCTAGGAGTACAAAAATTTATTATTTGGCATTAAATAAACAAATTAATTTGTATTTACTTCAGCGGCACGTTGCAGTGTTGATTGTCGATGCAGTATGAAGTCAAGTCGTTAACCAACTGCTTGGCCATGCCTAGGCCCAACATGGCACTTCGTAACCGGTTACTGCGCAGCAATACGTCTGCTACTTCATTACCTTCATTCGCAGTACCGACAATACAACTGGGCGGTAGACGCACTTGGTCAAATTCAACGCGACGTATATCTAAACCTCTGCAGCCGATTGTCAAATGCTGTTCTCCTAATTTAACACCGGCTGTGTTACTGTCCACTAAGAAAATTGTGGTGCTACGGCTAGCATCTCCTTTAACATTCGCCCGACGCGTTTGAGCGATCACCAAAAAGAGTGGCGTCGCATTGGTTGTAGCGAAAGGACCCGCTATCGCAAACGCCTTTCTTCCAGACAAGAGCCACTCGTTAGTTTCCACTATATATTCAGCGGTAGTGTTAAATAGTTCGTTTTCTGCCATGTCATATTCGAATATTGCTTCCACGCCAACTTGTGAACCTAAATATGCAAATATTCACGTATTTTCAAAATATTTTCAAGTCATTATATAAAGATGAACTTTCAATTTCTTACCGTTTACTAATTTTGGCAAAAAACGCTGTTGTTGTTCGGCGCTGCCTACGTCTTTTAGCAGATCGATTATTATGCGATGTGATAACAGACCAAGCGCTACATTGGTGCAGCGTGATTCAGGCTCTGTGAGCATCAAACTGGCAGTCCAACCCCAACCTTTGCCTTCAAATTCCGCCGGCACATTCAGACCATATAAACCCAACTGCCGTACTGAATCCACAACTTCGGCTGGTATTTGGCGTGTGCGATCAATTATAGCATTCTCAACTTGGTCAGTGAAAAAATTTGTAAGCGGCAATTTTTCGTTTTCAATTCGCGACAGTTCTTCACGTTGCACAACCTCTGGATAGCCAAGCATTTCATTATCAACCACACCAACGAAAAAATTCTTCACTAATGGCAAACGTGCACGCAATTTTCCCACATCTGGTGCCATCTTAACACCAGTCCCGGTGCGCCGTTGCTGATCAATAGCATCTTCGCTAGCAAACGAACTGTTAGCAGTGGCTTTTGCAGAGGATTGACTATCACGTCCGGCGCTAGTGCCTATGGCTCGTATACATTTTCCATTCACATATTCGAACTTTTTGCCGGAGTTGTGTTGCACAAAACGGTGCAATGTGTTGCGGAGACGTAACATTTTCAGAACAATCTTATAGAAATACCCATCAGCAGCACCAATGACAGCGGAGCTGTCAACTAACTGTTCTCACTCAACAGCTGATTACTTAAAATAACGAGTAGCTTCTAATGTTGTACAAATCCGTGAGTTTTTGAATGTTAAAGTAATCGTTAAAAATAATTAAAAAAAAAAAAACAAAAACAAAAGAAAACAAGTTTATATCGCTTGGACCGATGCTAAAATATTCTTCACAAAACAAAAAGGTTCCATACAGGAACTTAAATTTAATCGATCCGTTTGCATTGCAGCTATATGCTATAGTGATCCAATCGGAAATTTTGCCACTGCCATAGACAATAATTTCGTCAAGAAACCTAGTAAAATAAAAATGTTTTTCATATAAAGACTTAATTTTAAACGCCCACTTTGTAAGGCAGATATGTGCTACAGTAGACTGGTCTGACCTATTTCTTTGGAGCTTTCAGCCGTGCATTCAACAATATTCTATGCCAAATTTCAGAAAAACACCTCGTCAAATAAAATTTAATTTTGATAGTAGTTTGCATGGCAGCTACATGCTAAAGTGGTCCGAAATCAATGGTTCCGATCAAACAGCTACTTCTTAAGCAAGTAAAAACGTTTGCAAAATTTCAGACCGATATCTCAAAAATTGTGGAACAGTTCGTGTAAAAACAGACAGACAGACTGGCGTAATTTTCTCAGTTCGGCACACTGATCATTTATATACATATGTATATGTTTTATAGGATCTCCGACGTTTCCTTCTGGGAATAACAAACTTCGTTATAATCTTAATATAGCCGGTTCAGGTTATAAAAATATAAATTGTTTGATACTTAATAAAATGACTTTTGATGCTGTTTTACTATTTAATTTACTTCGTTCTCTTTTTCGATTACTTCCAATGCATTACAGTCACTTTGTTTAGTTCTAATAATATTCAGCTATTTTTTGATTTTTAACTGCCGTCCAATTTGTGGTGTGCCCAAAAATTTTCAGCGTTTAATTATGTATGTAATCTGGTATTGAGTGATTTTCTCTCAATATACTCCCTATGAACGACAGCCGCTACTAATGCAGCTCCGCGTCCAGAACCGTCCTCTGAGAGCATAATGTCATATTTGCGATCCTTCTCCACAAAACGATCCAACGTTTCGCGCATATAACCATCGAAGTTCGGATGACAACGATAAACTGTGCCGTCCACACCAATAATAGAGAAACTTTCACCAACTTTGTTCACCAAAGCGCCCAGTGTAACGCCCAGCATGTTACCGGCACGCTTCGCTACGACATCGCATATATATTTGAATTTCATGCAGTCATCAGGATCGGCATCGTGCAAATGGAAAATGTCTTTAAAGACATCTTTCACCAATGGCCAGTCATCACCTTTATCGTTGGCTATATCGGAGAGTACTTTCGTTTCAATGCAATTTGGTTTTTTCGTCAGGATGTCCGTGATTTGTTTGCGCAGCTTGCATTGAGCGAATATCAAATTCTCATTCACGGCGCGCAACAAAATCAGGCGTACCAGTTCACCCATGTACATACCTGAAATCAAAACATGCTTCATGCAACTTTCAATAATTCAATTAATCAACTCACCTGCTACCATTTTTTCATAGATCTGTGTGCCCGCATTCAGCGAGTTTTTATCGACAATCTTATCGTAATCGGTTAGTAAATGATCAAGACCACCCTTTTCGCCGAAAGCGCCCCACTCCACATTGATTATAATCTTAGGTCGATCCTTATATTTGGAGTCCAAACGTTCACAATTTTCCACCTTCTCCGTATAGCAGGCATTGCAGCCCGTGCCGACAATCAAACCAATATTACATGCCGGATTGCGATGGGCGCAGGACATTTGTGTGCCGGTCGTATCGTTCAATATGGCAACCATGTCGATTTTAAGTCCAGAACGTCGTGTGATTGCCGATTTTAACATAACGCCCACATCTTCACCAACTGTATCCGAACAGTTGAAACCTTTCGTCCAACGCACCAGTGTGGCGCGACTCAAGCCGGTCTGCACGCATGGAAATGAGAATGTGAAGCCCAGTGCCATGTGTTCGCCTTCGACCTTCTGTTCACAAACGAATTCATGCAGACACTTGGCGATGTAATCGAACAGCTGTGTACCGGTGCCGAGCAATTCCTTCTCTGTTAGGTCATAAATCTTTGCCACTAGTTCGGCGTCACGATCGCCCTTCAGCGTGACAAGCAGCACACGAAACCGTGACCCACCCAAATCGAGTGCCAAATATTTTCCCGTCTCATTACCGTGAGGAAAGTCCTGCACATATGTTAGATAACATTTTGTGTCTGCATCCTTGTTAGTCTTCGCGCCCAAGCCTTTGCGTATTTGAGCGCAAAAGTTTTGATAAAGACGCTGAAACTGATCTTCACTAGGTATCAACTCGTTTAGAAATTCTCGTAATCGTGTTAATTCGCCCATTGTTTATTTGTGTTTTTTTTTTTTTTTTGTTTTTTGTCGTTTGCTTTTAACCAATTTTCTTCCTGATTTAATTTTTTTTGGACAAATTTTTCGTTATGTTATTAAACACACCTTGGTATCGGCCTCAAATAAGCTTCAATTTACTAATWATGGTGTTATTAAAAAGGATTCCAAAAATATGGTAGAATTACAAATTTGGGAAACTAAAGACTAGCAATTTTGAAAATTTTGAAGATTTTTGTAATTATCTTGAAAACTCCGAATAGTTTGTTGTTTGGCAAGAGAGTCACAGCTTGCTTAGGTGTGTTCGGAAAGGGTTGGCGTGTGTGTTTGAAAAAAAAACACAATTTCACTTAAAGAGTTAAGTTGCTATAAAGCTTGAATCGAATCGAATTTTTCTCTTTCAGACTTTAATGAAAATGTTTTGAGCRTATAAAAAGTATTATATAATATAATAAGAACTTTACTAAAATTTAATATTTGGATACGAGACATATGGATGGTTAYCCGGTTCGGTCGATATAATCGCCCAGCACAGCAGGTAATTTGGGYAACCATGGATCGATTTCGCACAACGTTTACTCTAGTAGATATTGTGTATTCTCAAAGATGCCATCCAGTAATCACCGAGGACTCTATCGCTGCTGTAAAGCAGAGTATCGAAGAAGATCCGAGCGAGTCCATCCATCATCTCACCCAATAATTGGAGCTGTGCCCATCAACTTTATGGAAAATTTTGTAAAAGAATATTGGTTTGCGGACTTATAAAAGCTAACTTGTGCAAGAATTGAAGCCAAACGACCATCAAGCATAGCGCACGTTCAATGAGAGGATGGTCACCGACCCCCAATTTCCGTAAAAAATTTTGTTCAGAGATGAAGCTCATTAAGTTGTTGTTTGGGTTCATATTCGTCTTCATAGAATATTCGCCGTGCTATTGTTGACATATGATCCCAATTGCTGACAAAAGTTGTCTAAAATTGGGCATCTCCGTTAAAATTTATTCGAGCTGGCCGTGGCGGTCACTTGCCCGAAATCATTTCAAAAACTGAAGCAAACACTTATTTTAACAATAAAGCTATAAGTTCTTGGCCATTACATAAAATGACATAATTGAAAATTACATATTATCTAAAAATTACACCCTTTATAAACAACTCAATGGTAAATTTGAAAAATCGGGGGGTATTACTTTAGTTCCAAGAATTATACACAACCAACTATGATGAAGTAAATGAATTCAATTTATTTCGTGTTCAATATTCAATAACAAATAATATCAGTTGCATTTTCGAGGTACAGTAAATTAGTTATATAGGAAGTGGTAATATCCCCAAGGGCGAGGCTTAATTAACAGTACAATTGATGTCCACAGGTTGTTGAAGTGAAGATGTTACAGCTGAAAAATCTTTTGCTCATTTATTTTGAACTGATATTGAAATAATAAAGAAATTAATAATACTTACTGTCGGCGTAGGCCGAATCGTGTATCGACAGAATCCTTAATAATGGGCGTAGTTGTAACCACCACTGTATCTTCGGTATGCGAAGGCTAGTAAAAATAAGATATTTTTKGAAATTTTCAATTTGTTGATAAACGATAACTCAACGTTTTTAGAAAGAAGTGAGCAATCGTCCGTATCTAACGGGTGATCCAAGTAGAGGTACTTTTTTCAATGGAAAGACGTACGACTAAACAATGTTTACAAATCATTCAACTTTATCACAAAGATTCACGTTCTGTAACAAATCGATTCGTCAACAAATCGGCCTCCTGAACTTACTATTCGCAATATCATCAGCAATCTTCAGACCCGTCATTCATTATTGGATAATATTCGACTCAATAGACCACATCCAACACGCAGTGAAGAAAATATGGCAACCCTAGCTGAGAGTGTACACGAAGACTGTGGAGAGTCGATTCGACGTCGAGATTTTAAATTGAAAGCGTGCTTGTGTAAGAACTGAAACCGCTGTACCTTCTCAACCGACATSGCTTCGCTTGAAAAGTTCCAAGAAAATCCGACGTTTTCGAGCCWAATTTTGTTCAGCGATGAGACGCATTTCAAACTCAATGGATATGCTAAATTGCCGCATGCKGGACGAAGAGCAATCTGAAGGATTCAAGAGCTGCCATTTCATTCAGAAAAAAATGTTTTTTGTGGTTTGTGAGCCGGTGAATTATCGGTCCATATTTCTTCAAAAATGGTGCCGGTAGGAACATAACCGTCAATGGCCACCGTTATCGCGCCATGATAACCCACTATTTGWTGCCTGAAATTGAAGCSCGTGAAATCGGCGRCATTTAGTTTTAASAAGGCGTCGCCACTTTCCCCAAATCGCAACAATCAATGGATTTGATGAGAGAACACTTTGGCGAAAGATTCTTCGCAAATTGAACTCAACGGATGAACCATCTGAGACGTAGCCGACCAGTGATTGAAAGAGATATTCTCCAAAAAACAAATGCCAAAGAAAGTTCTTTYGAATGATAATATTCCCCAATAAATGTGAAGTTTCTCGGAACCTCGAA